TAATTAAGCAAAAATTGCAAGTGGTGTATTCTACAGAAGGTTAATCCCAATATCAAAGTTTAAATGTTAGTTTAAGCAATACTAAACATGACCCGGCTCTTCTCTCGTGCGTTTTTTGAAGTGTGATGTGAATTTGATTCTGAGGTTGGGCAGCTGTATTATGGGAATGTAAAGTAACTCGTTGCCTGGCAGCTCTCAAGAAACATGTCTAAATATTTATTTCTGGGGATCTTTAAGCGAATAGCTAACAAGCAGCGCTTTCTGTATGTTTTCTTTTACATTCAGATGCCTCTATTACGTGAGGAATGCTTAATTATTTTAGAGCATTCAAACAAGTAATCGCTGCTTCAGTCACCCGTCTTGTTTCCCTTAGGAATGCAGTATCGATAGCTGTCTATCTTTGTGCTTATTTATTCATACAGAAGTTCCTCTGGGTAATTGTGTGTTAATTATGAGGAGTTGGCTTCAGGCTCTTGAGATTTAGCAAATTGGTGGTAATATTCCTTTATATTTTTATAATGTTTATATCAATGATTTTAAAGGAATTAAGTTATTCTGTATTTAAAATCTGATCCACCAAGCATTAATTTTCTCAAGGATATTAATTTACATTTATATTACATATATATACATATATATGTATATATATTGCATGACAAATACAGTGCTAAAACTTTGTGTTTTCATAGCGTTTTCCCTCTAATTTAATGAGAGCTAATTAAACTGGCTGACTGCAGCATCCCTTATGTTAGATAAGAACTAAATGAAGATCAGCTCATTCAGCAAAAAATAGCCAAGGGGTATAAATGACCTTTTTTTAAGAGCATATAGGTAAAGCCCACAGCAGTTTAGAGCGAGGAGTGTGTGCCAGGAAGGTTAAAGCAGTACATCATCATACATCAGCTGAAAGTGCACAGAAATTCAGCTTTTTGGTGCTTAAATGCACCCCTTTATGCCTTCCATACGGAGCCACTAAATTCTAGGGCTTGTTAGCGTATGCTGCGGGTTCCGTTTTGACACGTTTTGCTGATAGGTTTGAACCCGGATGCCCAAGTGAAGCCGCGTCCCGGCTGTAGCAGGGCTCCGTGGGTGTCACGGAGTTTGGAAAACGCCCGTGGAGCCGCCCAAGCTCTGCGGCGGTTTCGCTCCCCGCCACGGAGCCCCTGCAGTAAGGTGGCGGAGCCCCTGCAGTAAGGTGGCTGTGCGCGCAGCGCGGAGGTGTCAGCGCTAAATCAAATCACTCCGCAGGGTTTTGCAGCGCGTCAATCCGCGCGCGGCGCCGCGGCCGCCTCGCTGTCTTTGGCGCCCTCTAGCGGCCCCGCGGCGCGCAGGCCGCGGTCTGGCGGCGCGGCAGTGTTCGCTTCCCCTCCTCTTTGCGTTCATCTTCACCGCTTCCTTTTTGCTCCCTCGAAAGTTAAAAGTGCAACAGAAAAATCCTTAAGTCTGTACTGCTGCAGAGCCTTCGGTTGCATGTCATGTAGCTTACATATCATATGCAGGAAAAACTGTAAATCCTTTTTTTTTTTTTATCTGCAATGATGATATCTTTTATATAATGAGCATATTGCATAGTCTAGCACATGGTTTCCCTAGAAGTCTTTTTGAGCCTGCTGTCTCCCTGAATACATTTTCATACTTCAAGCGTTTGTTTGATAATAAAGTCTTTTTGTCTTGACGTGGGTAGACACGGAGGGGCAAAGCATCAGTCGAACGGGGTCGCGGGGTATCGACAGGGCTTCGGAGCTTCTCTTACTGGTGCCGCTGTAGCACGTCAGGAGAAGCCGGCCCATGTGGGCCCTCACTCGCTGCCACTGCCCCTCAGTACACAAAGAAACCCCGGTCAGATACGAATTTGATGCTTATTGACCTACACACGAGAATGGCAGGCAGTGCGGTGCCGTAGCCGGCTGTTTTCGTTACTTGATTTTTGGATCTGTTTGCATAAACAATATGGGAACATGACACTTCGGCTGTTCTACCTTATATTTTTTTTTCCTGGCTAAAATTGATATTGTGTTTGTTTTTATTTAATCAGTGAGTTTACATTTTTTTAATGACAGATCAGAAGTTCTACAAAAATATTTATGAACAATAAAGTTCAAATCGTAATTTGTACTGAGGAATGACTTTCATTTGTTATATAAACATGTACTTATATAACTTCATAAAAAAAAATCAGTTGATCTAAATGATTTGTTCAGATTCTGTATTGTCTCCTGGCTTACTAGCCAAATCTCATATTTGAGAAGAACACTGCCACGATGCTTCTGGAAGCACACAACCTGTTTAATCCACAAAACCAATAATTTTTACAGCATACAGGGCCACTGAAAAAGCTGCATCTTGCTATCTCTCAGTGCATCATTCCCAGTCTAGAGAAATTTTATTTGACACAGTATTGTGTACTTCCCATTTCGGCATAGCTGTTATGTCGATTATTTTGTGACCGGCAGTCTCCTAGGTCCTAGATAACAATTGCTCTGTGTGCCACTAACAGCAGTAAAATAAAGATTCCCAGTTTTTCTTGGGCTGGAAAATGAAATGCTGTACCTCGGAAAAATCCACATACAGATTTGGAACATGATCTAAAACATGCTAATATTCCAAATGATTTGGAAGATATTGAAATGGCTTTTAATGATTCCGATCCGTATTTGTTCATATGGGTAAAGTTATTACTTTTTCATGTCCGCTTTTGTAATAGTTCTAGAAGTTCAGGAAAACATTTATATCATCTGTGATTTCAGTCGTAATAAGTTTAGGACTTTATGTGCAACACACTGATATTAGTAGCAGTTAGATGGATAAATGAAATGTCACTGGGTCCGAAACTCGGATTTGCCTGTTTCTTAGAGGAACTTCACTTGAAGAATTTGATGGAAACAGCAGCGCCCCGTGACTTTGTGCTGTGTTGCAGTACCAGGCAACTACTGAATGGTTCTGTTGCACTTCAAATATAACCTGGAAGGACGAGTCTGAGTGAGAAGACTTTACTTTTGAAGCACCCTTGTCAAAAAGGGGCAAACTTGTGGAAAACACGAGGAGCAAGAATGTTAGGGGGGACGGGGGAAAAAAAGTAAAAAAAAAAAAAATCTCACCTTGCCACCAGGAGGAGCACTACTAAAATATGTCTTATTATATCCTGGCACAGTCCTTACGAATACAGCTGCAGCGCTGAATCTTTGGGAGTATCATTCTTTTCCAGAGCAGGTATTAAAAATACTTCCTATAATGCAGCTCAAGAGAAAAAAATCAGGAAGAAAGCAAGCAAAGGGCTTTTACACTGTTACAATTTGTACCTGGAGACTGATTCGTTTGAGGCCTGAAATCGCAATCCTAGGTTTAGGTCCGTAGGTGAGTGTAAGTACATCATGTTTTGTGGCTGTTAGGCACGTGCCCCGAGTCGAGACCAGCTCTGCCCCCGTGCCTCAGCGGTACGGTGGCTGATTTCCAGGAGCTGGTGTGTTGATATTGCTGCCTCCAGCTCCTTATCTGTGCTTGCAGCAGCCTCTGTGCAATAGGCACTCGTGCTGTGTGGCTTGTTCTTGCAGCATATATTAGAGGTCCAAAAAAATGAAGCTTTTGTCGGACTAAGAGGAAGGAATTAGTTCTCTAGGAAACAAAAGTGCCAGACCTGTAGATCCTCCCCCTATTGCTGACAGGGGTCTCTGTGGTTAAAAACAGAAAATATGTGAAACAATGTAAAGTTTTGGAACGGGAAGGGAAATATTGTAGTGGGTAAAATGGAAACTTAATGTTACATATAGCAACAGGCTTGTGGTTCATAGGTAGCAAATACCAAACAAACGTTTTTGTGATAGCTCTTCACACCGAGCTGTGTAGTGAGACTATCTTGCTCGTCAGGGGTGAGATTCGTTGTATCTGCACACAAGTGATGTTGTGACGTGGACGAGGAAATGCTTGCTTGGATAACTCTCCTTTTCGAGTCCCATCTAGGAAGATTATAAAATCACCCACGGCAGCATTTGTATTTAAAATTTAGACATGTGAAACTGAGTGCCTACACTGATGGGTCTTATTTCTTTTATAAAAAAGGAGGGCTTTTTTGGGTGTCTGTGTTGATTTTTGCCCAGGTAGAAAATGTGTAGAGTACCTAATGCCTGCCTCAAGTTGTTATGATGTTGTGCAACTACTATAAATCTGACTTCAGAAAAGAGTAGGATTTGCTAATGTTTTCAAATTTTTGTATTCCATGTGGAATTCATAAACTGGATTCAACTGGATGCTAATTCACAAACTGCTCCCTGCATTCATGGCGTGCAGCTGTCACTGATTCCACATGCTATTGTTCTCCCTATGAAACTGGCTCCCCCCTTTCCTCCCACTAACTGCTTGTGCTCTGCAAGATTTCCTCCGCAGTAAGTGCTTGTCCTCGCCCTTGTGACAGCAGGTTTTAAAGCAAATGAGTTAAAACAAGTTGACTTTGACATAGACCTTCAAAACTGTTGCAGAGGATTTGTCTAACACCTGAATTTAGCTGTGTGACTTGTGTCATCTGTTTGCTGTATTTCATCTGATGTGCAAGACCCTGGCCAAGACAAGTGCTCGGTGATGGTCCCTTACAAAAGAGCCACGTTGCTCCGTGCGCAGCCAGGTTCTGGTGTTGGATTTCTCCTAGGCCTAGCGGGTCCTGATGGTCAATGAGACCTTGGAAGCTCAGTGCCGCCGCAGAGCAGAGGTGGGGATTGCTCTTGTGTTGTGACTGCAGCCACGTAGCGTGGCTAGTGGATGGAGTGGGGAGAGAAATGGCTGCTTTTCTGGTAAATCCAGCCCACCATGCCTGTGTGGGAGAGACAAATATTTGCTTATTTTTGCATTTCTACCAATATCTAGATATTTTACTGGTTAAATCCTGGAAGTCAACAGTACAAGTAGGTCATGTAAAGATGCAAAATTAATGAATAAACATTTAAATGTTTGCATCATAGCTTTATTCTTTAAAATGCTTTGCTAAGTTCTGATAAATATTTCTTTTGTAGGATGAAGATGAGCTGGACTCTCACACCATGGTGAAGACCAGCTCAGAGAGTGCTGGTACCATGAGGGCCACAAGCACAATGAGTGAAGGTGCTCAGACAATGATTGAACACAACAGCACTATGTTAGAGTCAGACCTGGGGACCATGGTGATAAATAGTGATGATGATGAAGAAGAAGATGGGACCATGAAAAGTATGTTGTTAATTTCCCTTTTCTGTTGAATAATGTCATCTGTTGCCTTATGCTGCCTGAGAACGTTGTCATCGGGGTCGTTAAGTGGCAAGTCTAGGGAAGGGAATGTGTTCATCTCCTGAAGTGCTCTCTGTGGTTGTTAGAGAAAAAGGTGATAGGAGTAGGAGATTGGTCCTGTGATAAAACTCTAGACGTCTAATTTTAGACTTTTTTTGAATTCTCCCTGCTGTTCTTTTGTCTCTCGCTTTTTGCCTCCTGTCGTGCATGTATTCCTTAGAGCTAAACTGCACTGCAGTCATTGTGCTGCTGTTTCTGTGTACATGTTCCTATGAACTCATCAGGGCTCCCCATGGGTTTAGTGATAGTACACATCTTGCTGACAAAGTGTTTTATAACTTTATAATCAGTTAGCAGATTTTTCTTTTACCAGTTATTAGTTTTATTATTATTAGAACATACTTGGGGAACGTAATTCAATAGTGCTTGATTTAATGCAATGGTCAAAAGATTATTGAAGCCAAAGTAAAACATCTGTATTGTCATCAGCATTTGAATGGTTATTTGTTAAAGAGAAAATTGATGAGTGTTCTTACAGTATAAAATTATAAATTGCACTGGTGAAATACAAGCAATCTATAATATTTATGTGCCTACATAAGAATGTAGGCACGTAATTTATTATTCTTATAATAAAACAACTACAGAATTAGTCACACTGAATAGAACAATTATTTGTTTGAATGGGTAGCATCATTAAGTAAATCTAATTCTAGCTCTACATGCTTGTTTTGGAGGCACAATTTTTAATTCCAGGTATTTAAATAACTTACCTAAATTAAGGGGGAAAAGAAATTCTGCAAAGAGAGTTTCCCACACCCCCCAAAGTAAAACTAACATCTCAAGAATTGAAATTGGTTACTAAATAGCTAACTCTGTAAAATGTTTTATAGTAGGTGGAATGTGGCTTTTCTGTTTGCACTCATATTCCTGACGTGACTTGCACGAGATTAGTTGGAGGCACAAGTCAGGAGTGTGTTTTATTTGTGGCTTAATGTACAGCAGATTGGGAGGAAGGGAGGATTTGTTGTTGTTGGTTTTTTTTTCTTCTTTAGTGTCTCCAACTGTAAAATAAAACACATAGTGTTTGAGCGGTTGGTTTGATTGCATGGTCACCTCCCACTCGGCACATGGTTTGTTTTCATGCTGAAATAGAATATTTATGTATTAATCTGTGAAGCTAATAGACTTATCAAAAATAAACTTGATCTAAGCTCAACATATTAAGGAAATAACTAGTGATGCAAAGACACAAAGATACTGGAAGCAAATCTGAAGAAGAGAAGGTGGTAGAGCAGTTACTGTGGTAGTAAGTGAGGCTATTGTACAGCTTATATGCACCCTTTCAGATTGCTTAAGGCTGACTGGCCATCCATGTAGTTTATATGTGCCCCGAGAGGAAATATCTATTAATATGCCATACAAACCCATGTAGTGTCGTTAGGGGTGCCTTGCAGTCTCTTACCTGTGTTTTGTTTGTCTCACATGTTGCTGGAGATTATTTCCTATTCTAAATTGATTCCAAGAGCAACAGTAGTTAGGTGGTGAGAAGAGGAACCACCTTTCCACACCTTGGTCTTTAATCTGTAGGATTCTTAATTCTCCTCTCTCCTTTATGAAATAAAAGAATATAATCTTTGGAACAGCAGGTTTCTTCCCTGCTTTTACACCTGTAGCATCAGTGAAAGCTTTATTGTGTGCTTCACATTAAACACTAATAATTCATCTCTCTGAGAGCAAATATAAATTGTATCCACCTGAGCTGGTCATCTTCTGGTCTGTGCTTCATGAATTACTGGCTAAAACAGGAGCAGCAGCAGGTGTTTTATTTTTTCCTGAAGTGGGGAAAAAAAGCAACTTGAAGTCAAAGGGAGGAATTAAATTTGGGTTAACTCAAGTGGCAATACTTGTGTAAACAGGAGCCAGAGTATGAGGGTTCTTGGGTGCACCTGAGTGTTTAGGTGAAGATATCAATTAACTCCCAGGGAGTCTCTTGTCCGGAGCTGGGCTTTATGCCTCTGAGTACCTTTCTGCCCGCTGTCTGAGCAGCCCTTCTTTCCATCTTTCTTTTCTTGAGCTTTGTTACCAGACACAGGCATGCGAGTGCTGTTACTGCCCTGCTTTGTGCTGGAGCAAGATGCAGCATCTCAGAGCCAGGCTGCATCTTCCAAAGTCCCTTGATAGACACGCTGGAGCTTTCTAAGTGCTTGCTTCGTTTGACTGGAATCAATCAGAACAGGTAGCTTAAAAGAGCGTACCAAGCTCTTGGTACGTGTGAGTAAGAGAACACTGCAAGCCAGCAACTTGGAGAAATAAACCTAGTTGACTAGGGAAGAGGGATTTTGTTTCCCTCCGAGAAACGCAACATATTTATGAAAAACTCCTTCTAATTGCTCTTGTGTTTAGTTTCACGTTTTGTTTTCCTGCGCCTTTTGTTTCTCTCCTCAAGGACAAAATAAGAAACAATAATAAGTTTTTATTTATAAGTGCCCATGCTCAGAGGCCTCTGGGAACCATGACAGAAAATAATTAAAAACATATATGTATATTTTTTTTCCACAAATGGGGAAATGTGCCCAAATAAAATTGTGATTTGGAACAAAAAGAGACCTGTCATCCTACCCTAACATACAATATACAGCCTAGCAATAAGCATTATGCTTTCTTGTTTAGTGTCTCTGTATGTGCTCATAAGCAGAGACTGTTGGAGTATGCACCTAAAAGCAGAAAAGAAAAAAAAGTACGAGAGGTAGGGAAAAACAAAGCTTAGTTTAGGAGATTGGGGATGGAGTGGGACTCACAGAAAAGATACTGCATTTGTAGAGCTGCTCCAACTGCCTTTTGTGCAGCAGTGCCATCTAGCCCAGAGCAATGCAGGGAAGGATCCCCAGGCCTTCCCGCCGGGCTTGGCTGCAAGGAAATATCATAGGGTTATTTTAGGAGTCAGTTGTAACAATCCACTGAATTCTTCAGAATATTGTCTGCTGATACAGGTTTCTGTCCATCACTAAGTTCCTGGAGAAAACACAGCACTGAGCCTGAAAGGTTGACATTATGGGAGAGGCGCAATTATAAAGACGCACATTCTGCACAACTGCACAACTGACCACCAGAACCTTTTCACACCCAAAAGAGAAGACTCATGAATTTATGACTGGTGGGCATTGGTACCTGGAAGAAGGCCTAGTGCTGGCCTTCTGCGGCAACAAGTATTGCTGGGGACAGTGCCTGCTCTTTTTCATCCTGTTTTCTCCCTTCTCCATGCTTCCCTAGCTCTTGTTATTGTTGTTGTTATTTCTACGTTTGCCCTTGGCTTTGGGTTGGCAAACAAGTTGCTTCTTCTTGACGTTCAGATGTTGATTGTCATTGCTTCCAACTTCAGCAGAGCTTCTAGGTGCTTCATGGTTGGCAACAAATAGATACAAAGAAGGAGGTAGTGAACTGATTAGGTGGTATTTGGCAAACTGAGTGTAGAAAACCGGTAAGTGGTGGATGGGTGTTTTTCTTTTGTTTGTTTTTGGATTTGTTTTTGCTCCACCTCTTATGGGGGCGGGGGGGGCGAGAAAAAAAAGGAGAATCCATTCAGTTACCCTAGCACATGGGATCCCTGCCTACTGTGGGGCACGCACTGTGTGAAACAACTTAAACTTCAGTTAGGATCTGTTCTCTCCTTTTAGTTGAGTAGGAAAACTACGTGAGTGACACAAGTTGGAGGTTTGCAGCTAACTCTGTCCCGCAGGAGTCAGTGCTGAGTCCCATCTGGTCCAACTTGCTCACAAGTGATGCGGATGAAGGGGCACTGCACACTCAGCAAATTTGCTCATGATCCAGAATGAGGAAGAGTGGCTGATGCACCAGAGGGCTGTGCTGCCATTCAGAGACACCTTGACAAGCTGGAGAGTTGGGCAGAAGGAAACCTCATGGAGTTCAACCAAGGGAAGTGCAGGGTCCTGCATCTGGTGCGGGCAAGATGATCTTCAGAGGTCCCTTCCAACCTCAACCTTTCTGTGGAATTGTGGCTTAGGTCCTTGGCTTGGGCTAGACACAGATACAAAGCCCTGTAGACTTCTGCAAGGCTCCACGTGCTGTTCTCGTGTACAGAAATACTAACAGGAGTAGAGAAAAAATTGTAGTCAATGTTAAGTTGAGAGGAGAGAAAGGCAGAGCAAAGAGCAGGTTTTGTCAGAATGAAGTAACGTTTGGGAGTGTGATGCATATCCGCTGAGGTAAGACTTTTGTGTTCAGATTTTTAAATAGATGCTTGTTTTCTCAGGGCCTCTTATTGACCTATTCTAGAAGTAGATCTGGAATAAGACCTGCTTGGGTTTTAGTAGTTGTATTACTAGTTTTAGTATTAGTTTTTGCACATATTGTATTTTCTCCTCTTATTGGTAATAAATACTCTTAATTAGTCTTATGTTGTATATTTGTAGTACCTTTTTAACAGACATAAGAGTGATAGCCTAGAATTTGAAAATGATATATGCCTTTCCTGACAGTTCTCTTAATTGCATACCATAATATTAGATTCTCTCAGAATAATCTTTTCAACTGAGATTTCATTAAAGATGTTTCTGCATTGAGACTTTTCTTTTAGATTTGTTTCTCTTGCTTAACTAATTCATAAGAGTGAGCAGATATTCTCTCTGTTGTGGGGGTATATAAAGTCAGCTATATCCTGTATTGTGGAATTTCACTGTTTTCTGCAAGTCCACTCAAGTGATGTCAGCAGCGCATTACTGTAGTAATAAAACAGAACATTAAGCAGTTAGTGAGGCAGGAGATTGTTTTCCTGTAGCTCTGTTAGCTCTTCCTAGTTGGTTTCCCAAATGCTCACTCAAAAGGTTTTTGAAGTTGCCTGACAATCTAATTCAGATAGTATTTCTATAATTATTTCTTCTATGCTTCTCTAATTCTCTAACAGAGACTCAGATCCTGGCTCTTTGGATTTTGGATATTTCTCCTGCTTAAAGCATTTCTTAATAATGTCTGCTCGCTCTGGCAGTTAGATGGTCAGAGCTTGAATGGGAAAATAAAGAATTTCTAGGAACACGGCAAGGAAATTTAGTTATCTGCTGATTTCAGCAGTACTGTAACCTGGGCATTGATATTTTTTAATATAGTTGATTAAACTTACTGCATCCATGTTAGGACAGTTTGCTTGATACCATATGCTGTATGTATGTAGGGCTTTTTATTGTATGTATATAAGGAGATATACTAGGTATTCTCCAAGCCCATTCCAGTCCTCAAACACTCTCCTGTGACCGGTGCTGAAGCTGTTTGTTTATGCCACTGCTAGTAATATCTTTAACAAATTGGAGGAGTGGCCATGTTGATAATTCTGGTTCAAGTGCAGTTGCCAAAGCGCCTGCTTGACGTGGGTTTTTCTTTTGCTTCACAGAAAGTGGGAATAAAGTATAACTCATCTGGAAAAGGCTAATGGGTTTGCAGTGGTAATGTTATTAGCTCTTTTTTTCTTTTCTCCAGAAAGTGGGAAAATAGCACAAGAATTAGTAAGCCATTGGTAAGCCCATTTTACAAGGCTCATTCTTAGGAAGCAAAGGAACATTTAAAGGAGCAAATATCTTTATTCATAAAATGTCTTTAAACTACGTATGCTATATTATATGCTATATTATAAAAACAAAGAAATGGTGATTGGAAGTGGAATACAAATGGACCAAGCTGGCAGGAGTAAGAGAGGTTTCTGGAACGATGCAGCAGTGGCAGAGGAGGCCATTTCAAATGCATGAACACAAACGCCCACGACTTGAGAAACGAGCAGGAGGAGCTGGAGCCCTGCGTGCAGCCGGAGCCACGGTGTCCGCTGGGATCAGTGTGACATGGAGGGGCCTCCCTGGCCTCTGCTCGAGGGTACCACAGCCGGGTGCAAGAAACCCAGGAGACTTCTGGAGGATGTGAGACGTAATGTCTTGATACAGAACTGCGTGGGACAAAGACAGGGAACATGCAGCTGGACCCACTATTCAGAAGCAAGGAAGAAGGGTTGGAGATGTGAAGATTGGTGACAGCCTTGACCCTAGTGACCATGAAAAAGAGGAGTTAAAGATGCGATGGAATTGAGAGTGGTAACTAGATACAGATGCTGGAAATCAGGGATGCAAGTTTTTGCTTATAGAGGTTACTTGCTGGTAGCTGAAATTGCTTGGAAGGCAGCTCCAAAGGACAGAAGAGCTCGGGAAGCAATCCCAAGTGTCTTTCAAGCTCAAGAATGGTTCAGCCCAATCCCGAGGAAAAAGTAATCTCATCAGGAGATTGGTGGGGCTAAGCAGTGAGTTTGTGACTGAGCTCCTGAGAGCAAGGAGAGGCTGTGGCTGGAGGGATGGAATTTAGAAATGGTGAATGGGACACAGATAAGGCCAAGCTACTGAATGGCTGTTTTCCTCCTGTCCTCACTGCCAAGGTCTCCTGGGCCTCTGTGCTTAAAAGGTGTGTGCTGAGAGATTGCTGATGTCAGGCTACTTACAGTCTTTGAAAAGTCATGGAGACCTTTTTTTTTTTTTTTGGACTTTCTTTGAAAGCAAAGTATTGCAACCATCTTCAAAAAATGCAGGAAAGAGTCTTGGAGGTCTGGGAAGCTGATAATGTTCAACTGTCACAAACCAAACCATGGGATATAGGTAATGTAGAACAAATAGGAAGTAACTTACTAGGTACATTAGAATGAATTGGTTATCCTTAAAAACTTCTTTGTATATCATGCTTTTAACTTCCAGGATCTTCATTTAGCAAAAAAAAGTCAAAAATAGCACTTAGTTTATTGTGATTTCAGGAGCCTAAGTCTTCTGGAAAGACAATGGAAAAAAGGAGGTAGGAGCCTTCTGAGGGCAATGGGAAGCCTGTGTTACCTGCTTTTAAATTAGTAGGTATCTTCTTATTTTTCATGAAGCATTAACTTAATATGCTCATGTTAAGTTAACTAGAGATCAAAATGTATTCCTTTTTGTATTTGTTTGTCTGTAAGGATAAAGATTTTTATTTAATTTACTTTGGAAAAACAAACCCTCCCAACACCCCAAGTCCTTTCATTGTTTTAGACATTTCTCTGTGTGTTTGTGTTTGTACTGGCATGTGTGGAAAGAGCCTGTTGTAGCTGTAATGGACCATGTTATGGTACTTGAGTGTTTCCAGTGGAGCCACTGCTCTTCCTCATGCATGTTCTATGCATGTTTGCTTTGCAAGGGTGAAAGGTAAGCACAGTAATCTCTGCAGGAGGAAAATAATTGATAGTGAAAGGCGAGCAGTGTGGTGTCCTACCGCCTGGAACAAGTAGTTTCACTCTCTGGGGGAAGCAATCAGCACATCATGTAACAAGTAATAAAAACCTGTGATTAAGAACATACTGTATCCTGTTTTTTCATTGTCTTCTCTATACTACCACTTTTTTGGGGATGATTTTGAAGTAAAGGCTTTGCCAAACTCTGTATTCTTATTTTCATTCTTCTAGTGCTTATTTCTCTAGCTATTTGTCATCCCTGCCATTTCTCCCCAGTCCCTTCCTCTGCTCTATGCTCTAGAGATTAAGAATCATCGTTCCAGAAATCCTGAGTTTGGTGGCGGCAGGTTTGGGGCGTTCTGCAGAGGAGGCATCTGCTGTGGGACCTCCTTGTTTCAAACTTCAGTTTAGTTCACTGGATGCTTTTGTATGGTAGATAGTTGTCAGTTAAAAGATAGTGAATAGAGTGGACTGCAATTTGGGATTACGAAAGAATATGGCAACAACTAAGAGGGAAAAAGTGGATAAACATTTTGGGAGGAGGAGGTGTGTGTGAAAACATGGCAGATTGGATGAAGGAATCATCATGGAATTGAGGAGGAGCAAATAGTCAAGTGCCGAAAGGACTTGTGTCGAGAACGTAAGCAAAACAGTAGAATACGTTTTAAAAAAAATCCCCAAAGAAATCCTACTAGAACAGAAAGAGAAAGAAAAGAATTGAAAAAAGATCATGTTACAAAAGATGGCAGTGCAGAAATTGGAAAGAAAAAAAAATCTAGGAAGATGGATGGAATGAGTTACCATAGGAAAAGATGATAAAATAAGAGATGAAATTAAAAGATGTCACTGAACTGGTAAAGCAAATTTAAAGTCAGAGGCAAAAATCAGTAAGTCATAGTGATCACATGTTAAACACAACTTCAGAAAGGTATTTCCAGTGTCTTTTCTTTTTCTATTTTTAAAAATAAATAGCTCAAAATTTCTTAATTCTTTCATAATGCTTATACTTAGGTATAATTCTACATGTAGGGGTTTTTAGCTTATTTATTTGCATTTCTCATCCTATTCCATATTTTATTAGTAGAAATGTATTTCATATTTCTCTTCCTTTTTTTTGGCTTTGTGAGCAAATACGTGGGTCATAATTCTCTGCAGAAATCTGAGGTAACTTGCGTAGCACTGCTAACGTATTCTTTAGTTTTTATTTGTTGCTCTGTTTAATAGTTAAATCACATGGAAATGCGACAAACGAAAGTAAGTTTCAGTTATTTTGGGTTGTGGATTTATTTTTGGTGTTAGTTAGTTTCAAGAAACAGAAAAAGGGAGTTCACACTGTGTCTTGGTTTGTGTTTCATAAAACTCTTGCAGCTGTGTAGTTGATGACAAAATATCTCACAGGGTTTCTACAGCATGGAGATAGGGCACTTTGCAGCCATCTGTAGCGTGTGATCCTCTAATATGCTGAGAATCCTCATTTGGCAATGAATTTGATTAAGCAGCGTCTAGACACAATTCGGGTAGTTGTTTTTCTGCATTTTTTTAATAATCTCTAAATCACACCTTTGAAACTGATGCAACTTGATTGCTTTCCTAGTAGTGCCTGTGGACCAGGCCTTAAAGTTAAGGCCATTCAGCACCCAAAGGGCTGCTTAGCATCTTGTGTTGTTCAGTTTCCATAACAACAAATAGATATCCCATGAAGTAACTCCTAATGTGATTTGTGTATGCAACTCTGAAATGTCGCGAACATTTCCCCACATTGTGTCTTGCTACAAAAATATCATTCCTTGGCTATGAGCTTTTATGCCAGAGATCCTCAGGGGGCAAACAGTTTCTGTAAAATCCAAGAAAATTAGGGCAATGAATTAATGAATGGTGTTTATTGAATTAATAAATGGAGTTTATTTTATAGCTCAGTTATCTTTCATTTTTAAAGAGTCTTAACTTCTTTTTTTCTTTCAACTAAGGAAATGCTACTTCACCGCAAGTACAAAGACCTTCTTTCATGGACTACTTTGACAAACAAGATTCCAAGAATAAAAGCCCTGAAAACTGTAATCAGAACATGCATGAACCTTACCACATATCCAAAAACGTTTTCCCTGATAACTGGAAAGTCCCTCAAGATGGAGACTTCGATTTCGTAAGTACATTCTTAATGTTTTTCTTGCAGGAAGTTTATGTGTTTGTGCCAAAAATAGTTGATCCTTCTCTATAATTCTGTTAATACAATTAAAATAAGTAGACCTTCTGGAATGCCATCCAGGTTTTTCATGTTAAGGTCAGGTACTGGCTGCAAGTAAGTGCATAGATAAATATGTGACATTAAAAACATGCTTCTTTGTTACTGCATTTTTTAGGTATAAAGTATTCTTGGTTCTTAGTAATTTCCGTGTTGTTATGACTTCAGAATTTGATTCAGTTCTGTTAAGGGTTTTAAAATTTTTATAGACCTGAAATACTGTTACACTGGGGGAATATCTCATTGAGATAATGCTCATTTTAAACTGGATAGAGACATTTAGTCACTCTCCTTGGGAGATTAAGATCATTTACTGTTTTGCATTAGCTGGTTTGTTGATACTGTTCCAAGAGCGCACTTCTTTCTGCACAGAATTATTATATCTAACATCAGTCAATCTATTTTAAAATTTCTTTTGTCTCCTGCATAGTTTGTATAATTTATTTCTTATCACCTACGCTGCAAATAATAATAGAGGCAAAAGAAAATGTTCCTACATTATTTATTTAAATCAATAAACAATTTAAAGTGTTTTTAATGACGTGCAATAAAAAGTCGCTGTGTTTAAA